AACGCAGTGCCGTTTTAGGTGAGCGGTACTGAGCTCGAATCCCGAAGTGAATATCAACACTGAGGTACAGGTACGTCCAGCTGACGAGTCACAAATAGGACGAAACAATGGAGCTGTTATAGCCAATGGAAATGCACATTGCGAATTATTTGTATATTAGAATAAATATTACTCAAGGCATAGAAACTTATACATATTAATTAGTGGAAAATAAAAATAAAATATAAACCTTTGGCATTTAAAATAATCTGTTCTGTATGTTAAATTTCAACTTTTAGCTTAGATATATAGAATTTCATTATTGAGACCCATGTGACAAGTGGGAAATTCCTCATCATTGATTTTTACTTTTGAATTGGTGCATCGTTAAGAGCGATCATTTAAACAAAAGGCCGATTGTTAGGATTATTTAGAAGGATTTTTCATGGTTATTGCATCAATTAATTGTGTACAGTAAGAACTGGTAAATTTTGAAGTATTAAGGCTAAGCGAACAGTAGATTATATAATTATCTATAGGTCTGTATGCTTAACGTGCTATAAACAAACTCGGTTAATCATAAATTATTGACATAAGCAAGTTGATAGTCTTTTTTAAACACGATGATACTTTGATTACTTCACTTGAAATAAGCTTTTCCGATTATTTAGTTTTAAGTTGGATGAAATGAATTAGAAATGTAGCCTAACTATATATACTTGTTTTTAAATTAACAGTCGATTATATTCATATTAATTTTACATGTATTTCATTATTAGGAAGTTCCATAACTTCGGGTTACACTTGATTTTAGTGAAAGCTGAAGTAAGATCATGAAGTTTGCTGTGTAATTGTGTTAGTACAAAATACTCATGTGTCTTATGCATTACTTCGTTCTACTTGAGTTATTACTAATGTTTTATTTGATTATTCTAAATTTAAATGAAATTTTTGATTCTCTTGATTATTATTATTATTATCAGCTTTATTCAATAATATAATATTTGATACAAAATCGAATTCACAGCATAAAGTATTTCTACATGTTTACGTTTCTTATTTCTTCGTTGCTCCTGACGATAAACATTTAGTGATCGCCAGTTGGATGTCAGCAGTTCAGTCAATCGACATGTGGATAATGTATATTCTTTTTGCTGCATGTTCCCAGCAAACACGACATCTCTGATTAGGCCTTTTGCAACCTTTACAGCGAAAGGTTGTACGGTTTTGAGAAACGCACCGGAATAGGTTGTGTGCTTAATAGGTATAATAATGTATTAAAACAAACAATATTACATAACTTGTTGAAATATATAGATGACAGGAACAGGTAGCTCAGATGTTTAAGCAGCCCGCCCTACGATCGTGGGACGTGAGGAATAGTATATTACGCTGCAATTGTTAGTTGATTCCATTAATTCTTTTAGTTACCTTAGCTGACAATTCATTTTTATTATCAGTTTGAAAAAACGCCTAACCACCTCCAATTTCGAGATACATTCTTGTTTTAAATGTTATTACAGTATAATTATACGTGTTTTTCAACTTATATTCAACCTATATTTCTTTTGTTTGTTGCTATCACTATTTCCTTCTATTGGGAATATTTTATCCCATTAAAAAACAAAACAAACATTGATGAGTAGTTATGCTTATATATATATATATATATTGGATTGTATTAAGTAGTTATTACTTTCTGTAATATTGATTATTCATATTTTATTAGAAAACTTATTCGAGTGAAATATCATTAGGTAAAAAGTTATTTAATAGCTTTCCCCATATAAGATATTTTCCAGAAAATAATCATGTTTCAATATGGTAACTAACTTGGATAATATTGTTTTTATCTGTTTTGACAATTCGCTCAATTGAACCTATAAAGTTAATTAGACTTAGCAAATACCACTCAGTCAGTTGCTTTTATAGATGAATAAAATTCATTAAATGTTTTTGTCTGAGATTATTTTAAATGGTGTAACTAGAGGAACTGACTAAAGTGTATTTTCTTAGCTTAATTGACTTATACTTAATAAGTAATTGGTAGTTCAATAGACTTCAGAACGATCACATTTTGAATTCAATTAAAAATGTGAAGATAAGTATTATTTGAGTCTTTTGTCAAGTAATATGGGATTTTATTAATAGAATTTTATCGTCATTAAGCATTAAGTAAACGTACCATTAGTCAACACTAAGTGATAAATCAAAGTGAACATTCCAGCGGTTGACAAGCCTGTAACAATTTTGACGGTGACATTGAATGACTCCATTTCCAACACCATGGAGCATAATATCACAGACTAACGTTGCTGACACATACTGGCATAAAATGTAGATTCTAAGTTTCCTGATGACTGCCTTCATCTAACCATCATCAGTATGTTGTCATTAAGATTAGTGACCGTGTTCAATGTACTCAGGAATTTGTCATTAAAAAGTATTTATAATTAAGCTTATTCTTATGCAACACTGAGATCAGAATCTTATATATAAATATAAATAGTTGCAGTTATGATATTGGCTTATATTTACTTTCTATAATAAACTTATACCAAACACTTGTATTCAGTTAAATTCTTTTATATCTAATCAACTTTATTGCCAACATCGGTTAATGGTTGATTGCTGAAATATGAGTTTAAAACGAAATAAAATACTACTTATCGGTTAAAATGAAACGAGATGAATTACTTTGATGTAAATATTCAAGTCTTCATGTACCAATCTGTGAAATGTCTAAGTATTTGTTAATATTGGACTCTTAGATAAGTATATCATATTGATTGATTTCATAAAGGTTAATTCATAATGTGCATACAATGATTAGGAATACACATCAGTAAAGATCCCTCAAAGAGAATCCAAATTATATGATTTTAAATATGTTTCATCGGTAAGCCTTTTCATAGATACAATAGGTGGGATTACTTAACTAACTTTATATATATATATATGGAGATTGTATATTTGCAGTATCTCAATGAGTAGAAAACGTTTTCAAATTCTCTGAAGAAGGGACGTTAACGGAGTCACGTAACTTAAGAAAATTTGATTGTTACACTCATTGGGTTATTACAATTATATTGTTTTCGTTCTATGTATATTCTTATGGATTTACGTATAAAAGACTTTTGCTAGAAAAAGTTTTTATTTAAATTCACTTAGTATTGTTTGTTTGGATCTTCCCATCGATGTGTTTAGGACTGCAACTGGTCAGTCTCTAACTGGCATATGTGCATACTGTGCGTATTGCCTCGATATACCTTAATTCACAAGCATGGTAAGCAGAGATGGATAGTGGCTAGCAATAAATTTTTTATTTAGTTACAAAGAATGTTTTAGTTTAGTCAGAAGGCGAGATCATATACTATTTACTACAACTCACTATATAATAAAAAAACTAAGCTACTGAAACATGTATATTTATTTATTATTTATTTTTTAAACTTGTTGGATAATCACAACTTGCAGTTTCAACAACTTTCACAATCTTATCATCATATTGAATTAGGAAGTTTTACAATTCACAACATTACATTATACACACTAGAAATAAGTGAGCTTTACATGTCAAAACATGTTTATCCGAAAAGAGTTTTTAGCTATAACCTTAATGCTTTCACTGAATAATTCAACTTTAAAGTGTAAACAACTTTATTGTAAAACAATTTTCTGGAGTTGTTGAGATCATCCAACAGTTTACATTAGAAATCTGACTAGATTTCAGGTGTATATTTATATGAAATGCTAAAAGTAGGCTAAATAGATATTCTGTTCACTTGAAGTTTTCAATGATTTATCATTTGAAAGGAATCTGTTGTGAAAGATCTTGGAACATTTCAACTGAACACAATTGTACTAAATTGTAAACTAATACCGCTATATAGTGAATTACTGTTCATGAACTGAGTTAATAAACTGGATGCTATTATGAAAATGTTTTCAATAAATCTTTAACGATTGTTATCTAAGAGATTTTAAGTTTAGTCAGATAAATATGCAAGTAATGTCTATCAGTGATTAACTTTATTTTGTGACAAATAAATGAGTCGATCGTAGAGCAATCAACGATATATTTAATTTGTGCCATAACGAATATTATGTAGATTACTATTGTAATGAACAGAACACTAGTTGGGGACAATCGAATGTATTTAAGCAAGCATTACAAACTATCTCACTGAATTCTGATAACCATACAATGAACTTTTAATTTACAAAATAACAACCAATTGTCTCAATCTTCACTGTTCCTTCTGCAAATATCAATCTATCTTCTCTAATTTCATTGTTTATGCATTTTCTTACCAATTGCGCTTCATTTCAGTTCTTTCCTTATCGGTCTTCTGACAAAATACATTCTATGTCTGACCACTACCATATACTACTTATATGGATATAAGTAAACCACAGTACACTCTTCCCTTGTTTAAGGCATTCGTTCATGCGGTGGTTCTGCTCGCAGTGCACACCGCATTTTCGTACTTCAGTTTGTGTCAAGCTCTCCGTCAAAAAGTTCACTCTGCGGTAATCTGAATTCCATAGCTCCGTCGACCTGCCGGGGCGCCAACATCTACTATCCACCCGGAATTTGGGACGTTCAACACCCGTACTCCACCGGCCTGCTGAGCCATCTACATCCAATGTCCGTCAAGCAGCTGCACGTCCCACCGCTCCTCTCTGTCGACAGCACCAGCTACAGCCAACACCGCCCCGCCAGAACACTTCACTCGACGTCACGTCTCCGCACCAGACTGCCCCAAACAGCACCTTGACGCCAAGCCCGCAGAGGCGTCCACACAAGAGCAGCCTTCTTCCTCCTGGTTGGAAGCAACACCAAATATAATTAACAAAACAATCGAATTTGTTTAAGCAAACATTACAGACTATCTCACTAAACTATCAGCGATTCAGTTAATAGTTTGTCATTGCATTACAGAGTAACATATTTTCACAAAAATTTACTACATTTCATTCACTATTCTTACTTCAGAGAAATTATGTTTTTTTTCCAGAATATATCAGATAAACGTGATTGATTCAACCATTAACTCTTGTAAATTTTCTCATCAGCTCATGGTGTTATGGAGATTCACGAAGGTCGTCGTCTAATTCTGAAATGCAAAGTACAAGGTGAAACAAATCCACAAATTAAATGGTTTAAAGATAATAAATCTATAAATATGCCATTACATCCGAATATTAAAATTACATCTTCAACGTAAGCGATGGAAATTTCTATTTATTTTGATAATAAAAGTTATTAAATTTTCATTGTATTAAAAACATTTTCAAAGAAATTCCAGGAAACTAATCAATTTACATAGAACTTAATATATAGTTTTGATATGATGTTAGTTTTACGAATGATGGAGAAGATTTGCAACCCAAATCAATGTATACTTTGTTAGATAGTTTTAAGGTGTATTTCGAATCTTCCATTCGCTTTCGGAGCAACATTTATTTATTATTTGTTTAAACACATAAATATTGGTACAAAAGGGCACCAGATATATATGCACCATACAAATCTCATTTGATTTGTGTGAGGGCTGTGATACTGCCTGGTTGCCCAAACCAAAGTAGGTGATTTTCTTAGGGGACCACACCCGGAGCCTTTGACCTAAAGGTCTGATCCACAAGGCAGTGGAGCAAAGTCAGGAGATGCAGTCCCATGGTAGCTAGTGACCAACGATTGATTCATACGCCATTTGTTCCTTCAGGATACTGGAGCCCATGCGCACCATTGGTTTGGAATCAGGGTTTTCAAACTCCCCTAGGTGAATTTTCCGTGTCCACCAACCCAGTTAAAGAGCCGAACATTCTCTTTTCGTCCTCTCAATTTCGTTAACAACAGTAGGGCTACGACAAGGACTTCCCTGACAAAGGGTATATACGCGTGGCCATATGAGGGCATTTGAAGAGGGCTAGCAGACTCCTCTACTCTCGGCCGTACCAGAGCATTTGGGGCAACATTGTCAATGTCCGCTTTATATCGTATTAAGTTGTTTACAAATTGTTACTAGGGAGTTAAATTAGTTGTTTTTGATGATTTGTTCTCATCGAAAACTTTATTCTGTCTAGGCCTCTTTTACATTCATGTCATGTATTGTATTTGTTTGACATGTGGACATTTGAGTGATCATCTTGATACAATCAAAATTGTTGTGATTTTCATTTTGGATTTTAGTTTCAAATATCCAAGTACTTTTTATCCTATAATTTCTTCCAAAGTGAAGATAAACACGTTTATAATCATTTTGCTTCATGGTTTCAGCAAATACATGACACTAAAAAAACCATTGCCATGAGACGTACAATACAGATCTATTTCAGTATGAGTTCTAGCAGTGTATTATTTATCACTGAAAATCGATTTGTTTATATCATGAAGAGCTAAGTACCATTGTCTTACATCATATAACGGGAGAACACTTTACAGTTTATATTTTAGTGGTTCATCATAAACATATATTTGATTTGACGAAGTGCACATATAATTATGAGTGAGATCTTTATTCATCCGAAGATAATGTAAACTCGAACACAGTTATGTTAAGTAATCTACATTACGATAAAGCCTTTAATTTGGATTAGATAGATGGAATACTGACTCAATGGAAAACTAATTGGTCTCCTAATATTTTTAAGAAAAATGGAATATAAATTAAAAGAACCTCTTGACTTTTATAAGATGTATTTCGTTTATATTTTGTAAACAATGTACACATAGCTCCAGACATACTAAGTGAAGGATATTGTCTACTGTGTCCCGGAAAAATAAACCCGTAAAGTTTTTTAATATGTCGTAATGATATAGCAAAGCCTATTATTTGTAATTAAGGATCTGTATGGTTCGTGTTTCTACACCTTTCGTAGGGTTTACAGTGAACTCGAGAAATAAATTTACGGTCAACTGACTTCAATTTGAGACGAATTTCAAAAGCAGAAAAGTCAACTTGCATTAGGCGTTCTCATGAATCATGTACATTATGCTTACTATTAACTTAGTTCACTAGATATTTCTGGAGTTCTAATGAGAAGTGGTGATTAGAGATGTTCAGGCTTGTTACAAATAAGATAGTCTTAACGAACGATAACAAATGATCACCACACTATATCATAAATTATTTCAAGCTGCAAGTGTGTTCCATTTAGGGCTTGGTGCTTTTCTGTAGATTTGTGTAATTTCAGTTATTCACTTATAAATATCTACAACTAAATACTGTTCGGAAATACTATAGCGATTAGATCAGTAAAAGAAATAAGTACAAAGCCCTATTAACAGGAATTGGGATTTTTCATTTAATGTAATATTGAAATTATAATTTATTATGGTAGAAGATAACCGGAATATTTTATACAGTTTGAAGTATTACGTCATTCTTGATGAAGTGTTAAGTAGAATAACTATGTGTATGTGTATACCTTATACACAACCAGTATGTACTTAACCAATAATGATAAAACCACCTTTGATCAAATGAGTTAACAAAATTAGTTTGCTGAATTTAATGATCAAATGTATTTATACGTAATGCAATAGTAAACTAATTACTCCATTAGGCATGAATAGTAAAAGCCTCAATGTTGAATCGAATACTTTGAATACAAATATCTTAACTTAAATGAAAGACAATGGATTGCATATCAATTTCTTTTATACACTTTAAAGTGAATTAATTAATTTCAATGCACTTAATTGCCTTATCTGTTTTCACTTTATCAGTGAATATGATGATGTGGATACTTTTACCAAAATACTTTAATGTTTCTTATTTAATAAATTCATTGTGAGAAATGGTCACATTGTTGACATTTTCAATTTAGTCTATAACGTAAATTATTAGTTGGGTAAGTATTAAACACATGACAAGGAATATGTGTTATGTCTATGGTCAAATCTTGGCGGAACAGTTGTTTAAAATTTATCAGTTTGTAGTAAATTTATAGAAACAACATTAAGCTAAATGATGTGTGTGGCTTACTGATGTCATTGTTTGTTCAGATATTCTATTTAGAAGTCACTTTTTTTCCCTAGCTTGTATTTTGTTATTTTAATTTATGGCTTACAGATGATATCTGTGAAAGAAATGAAAAAGTTCATTCATAATTCTACTTCTATAATGTATCAGTATGAACAGTATGGATTCTTAGACAGAATATATTGTTTTAGTAGTCTTTGTTGCTTTGAGGTTGAGTCGATGGACCGTAGAATGTATGAATACCGCCTGATATTACTTATTGAATAGTTATTAAATATTTTGCTTGCAGGTTGCTTAATGGTCTGTATTTTTAACTTCAAAGAAGTTAATCAGATGAACTTCAAAATATACGGAATACAGGTTTAAAATTTTGTATGACGAAAGAGAATAATCTTTGGAATGATATAAACTACTTTAGGATAAACAACAAAAGACCAAAATTATCTAGAAAGTAAAACTGTAAGGCGGTCAAAGTCATTCCACAGCTAGTCAACTAATGAAAAGGATTAAAATGAAATGAAATAAGCAAGGCAACTGATTACGTATCACAAAGATAACCATTTAACTATTCGATGAATCACTGGATTTCTGTATGACTGAGATATTTACACCGAGTGGTCTCTGAGTAGTAATCACTGCCCTTATTGCCGACCGAGTTTTATAAGTCAAATCGCCATCATGATATGCTTTTGTAATTATGCTAAGGGATGATGAAGCTTTCAGGGTTAGTGAAATAGCTGACAAGCACAAATATGTAACTCAATGAAATCATACTATGGTTATAAACTAGACCTGTTCAGGAGCCATAGTCCCTGGAATTGATAGCCTGCCTACCGTAAAGAGCATGTCGCAATACATCAAGTAATACGTTTTACGCCAAGCTACAGAAGATATACAAGAGTATAAAATCTTTTATTCCTTATGAAATACAATCTTTAGTCAACATCAACTATTTACATTATAATACGATGGTGTTTACACAACTCTATCTTTATTTACAGGAAACATTCAGAATTACGAATAGAACACGTTATAACTAATGACACTGGAAACTATTCCTGTCGAGGAGAAAGTCAACAGAATCAAATAAGCAAATGGGTTTTCGTTTCAGGCAAGTTTTTCTTTATAATATTCATTTAAATGTTACATTACATAAACGAATAAATATTTGATCAGAAGGGGTTTTGTGGAGATTTCAGTATTTTCATAGTTGAAATCATGAGTTAATTGAAGCTAGACCACCATGGAAAACCTGGAGGTACTGGATGATTTCAACTATTTAAATCTCCACAAAAGCCGCTTCTGATTATAATCATATGCTCACTAGTGACTGGCTTCATGAGGTATTTCCTGGAGTCCTAATGAGAAGCAGTAACCACTGGAATTCAACCAGGTCTGTTGTGAGATATAAACTCACTGAAGACAATTGGTGAACGGTTGCTCAAACTTCGTGGATTGGTTGAAGTTAGACATTAACACCTCGTATGCCGGCTTAGTGGTCTATCGGTTGAGTGCTCTGGCGCGAGACTGGTAAGTCCTGTGTTTGAATCTCGCGAGGCGGGATCATGGATGCGCACTGCTGAGGAGTCCCACAATAGGATGAAACGGTCGTCCAGTGCTTCCATGTTTTCTATTGACTCATGATCTGAACTATCAAAATTATTATAATATCCACAAAACCCCTTCTGATAATAAACAATAAGTTTTATTCACTTATGATAAATATTTAGTAAATACATTTATTTGTCATAATTCAGACTAGTACATAGAAGACTGTGATTATTGGTTGACAGAAAAAAAGAAAACGGACTGGTATTTGTCTCACATCATTATTATTCGGAGGTATATTAGTTTCCTTAATTTTGTAACTAACCAAATTGTTCACTAATGTATTTCAATAAAAATAATTTAAATCGAAATTGAAGGTTAAATAACATGGAAGGGAGAAACCCAAATATAAAAAAAGACGGAATATTTGATGGGTGTATTATTGGAAAAAGTAATAATATTCAATAAACGATTTATCTTTGTCTGGGTGGGTTTCTTTTACTTTTTTTCTTTAGAATTTGAACACAAAACTATAAAATACACATTAATAACCATTTTTCTCTAATGTGAAGAAAAAAAAATCAAGAACCCACCCCCCTCAAAAATAGATTGGATAATACAATTAAAACTTAGTTATGTATAAAATCGATTTTCCCTCTAAAATTAATTTTTAATGTATTAAATTTTCTGGATCAAAAAATACAAAAAAATAAACAACCAAAATGTTACTGATATTGATTATAGCCTATTTTCATTTATTCTTTCTTTCTTTTTTCTTTGTTGTTGTTGTTGTTGTTGATATATGAAGTGTATTCAGCTTGTCCAGTGAATATTTGTAATATGGGGACATGTTTCATTATAAATAACAATTCTCTATGTAGGTGAGTAATATATAATTTATATAGAATTTTGAATTGTCCCGTTTTTCTTTCTTTTATTCAAGGATTAAAAAAGAAACAGCCAAAAAACACACTTGGTGATGAGCTCAAAATAGTTTCCATACTTATCATGATAAAACTTAATTAAAATTTAATCATGTATTTGTATAAGATGTTCACCTTAGAGAATATTTACTACTTATTCAAATAGTATTAGTATATGTTTTGAGTAAACTTAACTGAGATTAGTGTTATTGAATATAGATGTGTTTACTGGCATACTTGAATACTATGAGTTCTAAAACAAAGAACCATTCCTATGTTCAAGATTATCCTAAGCTGATGTTTTAAGTTAATTCGTTTGTGGTGTGGTCTACTTATATCCACATAAGTAGTATATGGTGAATGTCAGACATAGAATGTATTTTGGCAGAAGATCAATAAGGAAAGAATAGAAGTGAAGCGCGATCGGTATGAAAATGTATGAACAATGAATTCAGAGAAGATGCACTGATGTTTGCAGAGGGAACAGTGAAGATTGAAACAGTTGCTTGTTATTTTGCAAATTAACTATTCACTGTATGGTTATCATAATCTAGTGAGATATCCTGTAATGCTTGCCTAAATACATTCGATTGTCCCCAACCGGTATTCTGTTCACTACACATTTACCCTTTGATGCACAAAAGGTTATGTTTTCTGAGTTACGAAATTTTAAAATAGTGTTAAGCTACCGGCTTCTTCAAGTTCTCTAGTCTGAATAGTTGACCTGAAATACTTTTTTTGTTTAGTTAGACAACATAATCAGAGATTAATTTAGAAATAGGGTTTTGTAGTTATTCCACAAGCGCGTAGATATATAGTACAAGTAATATTTGAATCGGTTCTATTGATGTCTGTAATGAAATTTTAACCGTTCACGTATAAAAAATCACTAAAAGCATCTCCAGTCACTGTAGTTTTCCATCCTTTTAAAATGTTGGTAGTCACCTTTACGGCTTTATCACCTGTCAGACTTAAGAATTATTGTCGAATATAAACGTCAAGTTGTTTCCTAATGATTGGTACATTTGGATCAATAAAATGATGTGATTAAACAATTATTGTAATTATAAAATTTATTGAATTTTAGGTTTAGGATTTACTCTCAAACATCATTTGGTATAACCGCTTACTATCTATCTGATCCATATTTATCAACTATGAAATAAAAGATATATTTACATTGAACTGTTGAATACAAAAACAAGCGTGCTATTATACTATGCTAGAAATCGGAACGTAAACTAAATTTTTTGTTAGTCTTTATGAGAACTACTGTATCCAAAGTTTGGCATAATAAATTTATTTCTTTAGATAACCATTGGAAACCAGAAGGTGCTTCACAACATTTCGATCTTAGTGTTGAACAACGTGGTGGTGAGTAAATACAATTCTACCAGAGAATAAACATTTAGCCTTCAGGCTTCATGGTGAAAACTTATCTTCATATTAATTAACAGGCATCTAGTAGTTCACATATCTGACTTCAATAAATTTGTTGTTTATATAATTAGTTTGATCTTCAATCAGGTCGTCGATGTGCACCGCTAAGAAGACTTGTACTAGGGTGAAAACGTTTTTCAGCATCTCTTGGTTTTCATTGGTTGTTTAACGGTTAATGTATTCTAAAATAAGTACTATTATTAAATTTATGTATCTCTGTATGAAATGTTGTTATTTTTTTCTATTTTCCTTAAAGTTTAACTAGGCTCATAACCTTATAACCTGTTTTGATTTGTTTTCCTGCCTTTTTACATAATTAAGATGTCCAGAAACTCATACCGGTGAATTTTGTGATCAACCTGTGTCAAATGATAAAATCACAAATAAATTAATCATGAATACCCAACCGATTAAAAAAAACCTCAACTATTTACAGTCTGATTCAAAATCATCACCTTCTGTTGATCTAATTAATTCTGTATCCGTTTTAAATGATAATAATCAACAATCTAAACAAAATATGCAACTATTATCAGAAATAAAACGTGAAAAATTCGATTTGTGTACCCTTCCTGAATTTCAATTTACAACTGGTGAATAAATTCGGGTTTCTTTTTTATTATTTTGTTTATTGTTAGAAATGAATAGCCTTTTTTACATTGCTAATCATCTTTGTGAAGATTTAATTATGATTATAAATAAAAATAAACAAACTCCCAGTTTGGTTTCTAGTCTAGTTATTGGCAAAAACTGATTACCGACAAACATGTAAATCTTTTTCATTATAGTTGATCATTATGGATACCTATAGAATATTCGACTCCGTTAATAGTATGATTTGATTGGCGGATAGTTTTATTAGCTGTTACAGAGTAGAATCAGTTTGACTTATTTTTCTTCACATGCTATGTCCAAAAGCATTCATATGACCTAATTAGTTCAATAGATTGAAGGTAAAGGTCATTTTTTATCCCCTAATGACGTCCTGGGTTTAAGATGAAACGTTTGTTTAGCGATCTTTAATTTCTACACAAATAGTTAACTGTCATCAGTAGTTGGCTAAATCTACCATCAGAGCAAAATAAACTCCACAAAACGCTGAGACATCAATATAATTGTAATGTAAGCTGAATGTTTTCAAAAATTATGTAACAGTTATATAATCATAATACTTGTGTTAGTATTATCAGCATTTATGAACTACTGTATGGCTGACGGTGTTCTATGGTAATTTTTTGGACGTGGCGCATAAACTATCGATTGTTGGTTTCTTCAAGTATCTGAAGAAAGTATTAATAATTTATACTAACCGATAATGTCAATTATTAGGGGAAGCAAAGTTCAGTTGAATTTTTTATGTCAATACTTTAGTGCTATGTAGACAATAAAATTACCCTGCCATTAGTTACACAATTTGGATATTAATGAATTCTTGATATTCAATAACTAGTGACCTAGCATTATGTTGTCAGGGTTTACGGATGAGTCTGTAAGGTGTTTTTATTTCTTTTATTTTGATTGGTGGAATAAAACGCATGTCTTTCCGAACTATCAATAAACGGTTCGTTGTAAATTATTGAGCTGACCTATTTTGACAACGAACGAAATCACGTAGCAGTGATGTGGTGTTTTAATGATCTTCATGGTCTATGTACCTCTGCCGATGGTCTCCAACTAATCAACATGAAAAATAATTTTGAATTCAAATAAACTGAACTCTCCAAAAAATCTCCTATTTATCAATAATGTTCCGGACTTCAGTTATTACTTTTAAGATGCTTTACAATTATTTTGAGATCTATCGATGCCATCAATGTAAAAGTCAAGCACGTATTTGCTCATGATATTTAACCAAAGAATTGTTTTGTACGTTGACATTCATTGCAACATTTGTCTTAGAAGTCGAATAAGAGTATGCGATCAACCAAGTTTGAGACCATTGTTTCTATGGAAAAATTATCTTTGATTTTTAGTAAATCTCTAGGTGTTATCTATCACAAATGTTTTTCGCTATCCTTGGCAATTGGCATCCTAACAACTAAAGTTGAGTTTATACACTAATGGGTTAAGAAGTGCATGTGCTTAATTTTGTAACACAAGGTTATAATGAAGGTTGATGGGTATTTACAGCGGATCAGCTAAACAAAACTCCATACTATAGACTAACTGAGTAACTTGAATAATAATTATGAAGCAGGCAAGATTATGGTCGAGTTGAGTTTAGATTATCTTCAGCAATTGGTTCTACCAATTACGCACGCTTACTCTACCTACTCAGTCTTGTATCGGAATAAGGCAACATGGAAGGTAAGATATTATTACTATATTTCAAGTACGCAGGATTTTTATCTCAGATACATGTTATTCTACGTATATATTAACTATGAAAGCCCAACGTACTCCAAATGAGATAAAATACATACATGCACTCATGTTATAAATAGTAGACAACTAAGAAAACGGCACATAGCTAAGTGATTCGAAAACTTACTGACTAATTATTACATTTTGTTGCTAGTTAACTTTGAATTAATGATCAATTCAGTTTCTAAATTTTCTTATTACTATTAAGCTTCGTTAAAATTGCATTGAGTATTTGAGATTTAATAGATAGTTTTTTTTCGAAATAATACCCTAGGTGTTGTCTTGAGATCCGTATACTGTTCAAAAGACGTTTGATGCGTTAAGACTGTATTAACCATCAATTCATACTTTTCATTCTTTTCCTTTTTTTTGCTTTTTTTGTAGATTGTTTACATGTTAAAAGTCATTTGACTACATTCATCGGCACTGCAATCACTTGTTCAATGATTATATTGCTGTTAACATTTTGTGCAGCATACTTTAGGTAAGTGACTATTGTCAATAAACTATTTTTTTTTAATGATTGTAAATTGTGAGTTATGCAGGTCAACAAATGATTCAATAAATAGGTGAATACTTTGAAAATCATGTAGTTTCTTTTCCTGTAATCACTAATTATCTAAATGATTACTTCACTAATACATTTAATATTGATTATTATCCACTAATTGTGTTTGTCAAATAATTTGTTTAGTAATACCTCTGTGGTACAAGATCATTAGGGTTATATGGGAATATGTTATTGTATACCATATTCTCCTCGTATTGTATGGGACAAACATTGATTTACTCAGATCAGATTCATTATGAACACACTTATAAAATGAGTATTACTAAAACCTTTATTGTTGCTTATTAAGGTAAGTCAAAGAGTTTAAAATCTTTTAATTATATTCAGCGGACTTCTACTTCCAAATTGAAGTACAAGCTACAGAAGATTCTTGAGAACTCATTCATTTAGCTGTGAAAATAAAACAGCTATCATATTCCATAGTGTACAAAGTATTAACCATTAGATTAATTATACTATCCATCTATCTATCTATTGTTCATCCATCTATGTAGTCGGATGACTTTTGACATGTAGACAATCTACAAAATAACGATAGAAAAAAAAGAAACCATAATACGTTAGGAAAAGAATGAAAAGCATGTATTGATGGTACCAATAATTATCCTTGGGAGATTTCACACACACACACACAACCTTTTGAAACGTAATCAATATTCAAGGTGGTATATCATAAAACCAAAGATAGATCTTATATAAAATCCAAAGTTGCTTTATCTAATCTTTAGATAATTTAAACATTTATCTTTGTAATCCAGTAAACAAAATAGTTAAGCAACTTGTATCAATCAATTTATACAATGATAATGAAAACATCTAAACAAACATAAAAGTAAATGGACAATTAACAGAAAACAAAGGCAATACGCAATAAAATTGGTTATTTGAGTAATACACTTCAATAAAAGCTATTGACCAGATTAAAATACCATCGGTTATCAATATTTCTATAGTTAGTAAATGGAACGAATGTGTATTTTGATTTAGTAAACTGATTATCAATTTATCAAGGTATTCTTGTAAAAGTGAAACAATATTCAAAATATTGTCGTCAATAAAGAAAAACTCTCTTCAGTCTGAGTGACGAAGGTGACAAGGATTTAAATAAATAATTATGTTCAGTAGGGGTTTTGCGGAGATTTTAATAATTTTTATGGTTGCATTCATGAGTCATTTGAAGGTAGACCATTGGATGCCAGCTCATTGGTCTACAGGTTGTGCGCTAGCGCTCGAGACTGATAGGTTCTGGGTTCGAATTTCACGACGCGGAATCATGGATACGCATTGCTAAGGAGTTCCTTAATAAGATGAAACGGCCGTCCAGTGCTTCTAGGTTTTCTATGGTGGGCTGGCTTCAATTGATTCATGAATTCAACTATAAAAAAATAATAATTATGTATTAAGTAGATCATTTGTTAAACTAACATCATAATCATACAAAATGAACATATGGTTTGTATATTCATCGCAGTGCAAGCACTATACTTGAGTATATTCATAAATATACCTTTATTATTATATAACATCGTAAGCTGTGACAAATTTTGAAAAAGACAATATCAATTTTATAAATTGAAAAGTATTCATTCTAATAACTAATTAGGTTCAAATGTGTACTATTTCACTGACTTGAATATTTATTAACAAAAACATGGCACAAATTATTGTTAATGTTGTTACAATAGGAACTACACCGTAACCATAGTGATTACAATCTCCATTTTCTCTTGACAATTATAAGAGTAAAGTAACACAAAGAATGTACTAACCAAAAGTTGCTTCCGTCATCCCATCATTATCTACGATAAACATTGAGTGGTCAATATATCTTTTCAAAAACATAATTAAAAGTCTAATACATGTCTTGTCAATGTCAAATAATAATGTTTTCTTATATATTGTTCTTTTGAAATATGAATTTTAGAAGGAGAAAGCTCTTAAACAAAAGAAAACAAGATTGTAGATGTCTATCGAAAGATGTAGGTTTATTCATAACTTATCGCAATTGTTTTTTTTTCTTGTTCATATTGATTATGGTCAGTTAGCAACAAAATTAGAAAAACATAAATGTAAATCTTTATTATAAATAAATCTTCAAATCACCATCTTAATAATTGAGTATGAAAAGAGTAATGGCATATAATGGTTATGAATAACATTCAGTAGTTATATGATTATTGAAAGCGTATCTTAATTTTGTAACCATTGGTTTGACTTAAAAAAAGGAATATCTGTTACTGCAAGATTTTTATAGGGTACCTTGACAACCACATCCAAACATCTAAAATCACGAAATAGTACAAGCGGTATTGATTCATATAGATAGTGACCACATTGTTTCGTTGATAGAATTCGATCGCCACTAAAAAACTACACAAAACTGACCTTAATTACTTTTCAGTGACTAAACTAATCAGCGTAAAGGTTTATCTCCCAATTAAATAACGTTTTGAAATCATTTATTATTCTTTGAAAACAAATGTCAGTTTTTTTTTAAGAGAAACACTTATGGCTGAGAATATACCTGCATAACTTCCCATCTTTCTTTTCACTGACATAATAAAGTAGCATTCTGCATATCATATCAGGTCACTTGAAATGATATTTACATTGCACATAGATCTGTAAAATTCGATATGGACTGCATTCTAGGCAGCTACACTGGATACCACTATGTAATGAATCGTATTAAAGATTTTGACTATGATGTTGGTTGACAAACAGTTGTTTTGAGTTCTATATATTCTTCATTTGTAGGGATGCGGCACTTGGTCTTCCAATTATCGCATTTTTATCTATATCAAATCCTTTTTGTTCATTGATGATCCTGATCAAGTATATGGTAGATTCAACAAAGATTAAATTTCAGATGTTTTATAACTAAACTTAATTCACTTCTTTGGAGAATAAAACTAAATAAATAGCAAATGTCAATGGGTGTAAAAAGTGTGACATTTGTTATGTAAAATGGTTAGGTTAGTAATATTCATATGTTTGTCAGTGGTACGAGGTGTGAACGGGATTAGTTGTGTGGATGAATGGTCCATACTGGATACATCATTGAACTTCCTTCTTAGTTAAGCGCCGTAAGGTTTAAGATGTATAACTATTTCTGATTTGACATACAGATTTTCTAGATCTATAGGAGTATTTGGAAGTCTTTTTGTGTAGCTTGGATTTTCCTTAGTACGGATTATGATTTCATGAGAAAATTATTTAATAAAGAAATTACCACAATCTACACATCGTGGTCTGTAAACACAATTCTGTGTCTAAGGGAAAAGAATGTTATCTTTTATTTGAACTAAAAGATTTCGCAGAGTATATGTTGTTTTATAGGTTGATTTTATGCTATATACTCAAAAGATTCATTGTAGTTTTTCCATCATACCACTGTAGTTTGATAGAACTACTGGATTAAGCCATAAAAGTTCATTCCATTTATCATGGGACTGTATCTCCTTACGAAGCTCCACTGACTTGTGGACTAGATCTTCAGGTCAAAGGCTGGGGGAGTGGCCCCCTAAGAAAACCACCTGCTTCATTTTTGGCACCTGGGTAGTATCACGGCCCTCACACAAATCAAATAATATTTGTATGGCGCATATGTATCTGGTGCTTCCATTTATCATTATTACCTAACAAAACAACATTTCATCTTAGTGTCTTTTTCATAACAATGATAATTGAATGTTATTCAATCGCACTATGTTAATAATATTATCATTCTCTGTTTGTCTGTCTTCATTTGATGTAACGATCTTTGATATTCGTTTGAATCAGTTGTTGTCGTTTTTTCTTCTTTATTATTTAAATACGTCTACTGTTCTCATGCCCGTTAAGCATGAATATTCTGACTAATAATTTATTCAAGATACTAGAAAGTTAGATTTTCTTTTCTTCTTTTCTTCTTTTTGTTACTTTTCTTTTTTACTTCTGTCGTGTATCCGGCTTATTGAGTAGTTATCTTGCCTAAGAAAAAGATTCTAATTTGATTTCATTATTAATTATTAAGTTACTTTGTAATAGATCAAGAGATTTCTTTGATCTTTATGAATGCAGATCATCTTTAGAAATTCTTTTATGTATAATTAAGAAAATTGTTTACATTCTTCAGGGAATTTTATTTGTCATAGGGTATGTTTCAACTGTAAGCAAAGATGGATAGTGGCTGACAGTGAAATCCAGTTTGACGCGCGTTTCGTCCTGTTTGAGACTCCTTAGCTGGATGTACCTTCATCTCAGAGTTGATGTTCACTCTGGGACTCGAAACCACTGCCTTTCACTTCAAATGCTCCCAACAAACAATACTAAGTGAATTTATGTTTGAATTGGTTTTTCATTAAAGGAGTTCCCATTTTGTATTTGTATCGAGTTCCTTTGTTTGGTTGTTTGTATGTATGTTTATCTATTCTAATTGATTTTAATTGCAGAATAAATCAGAACCTGTAAATTCGAATAAATCAGCTGATCATAGATCATCGTCAGTCATGAAAGATTCTACAAATATTTTTAGTAACGATGAAGTTAACCATTCATTCAATCCCTTCAAATCTATATCATTTGAAGGTACTCTATATACAGATTCCATAAATAAAAATTTCAGAAACTATAATGTTGACATACTTCAGTCAAGTATTACAAACTCAAATCATGGATTTATGACTCAAGGTAGTAATAATAGTGACATACAGATATCAAGTAATGGTAACGATAATTTAACATATAACTGTTCGAAAAAATTTCCCAATTCATCTTCATCATGTTCGAATACTGCTTATGTTGTATGGACTACTACCCCTGAAATCATTCGAGATGATGAACGAGAACTAAACAATAATTCATTAGATAAAATATTGATACATACAAATGCTCAACAACAACAACAACAACCAAACTCAAAAGAGCAACAATTACTATTTTCACCAACAACTTCGTATATTTCAGCTACTTTACCAAATTCTTTTAGATCACAAGAAATTATTTTAAATAATGATGCATTATTTAATCAGAATGATCTTAATGCACTACTGTCGTCTACAACATCATCATCAACAGTGATATCTGGACCTAATTTATATAATCCTGTAAATGTTGAATTAGCTGATATAAGTAACAAAGTAAGTTAATAATAAATATATTCTTATGATATCCCAATCAGTAGAAAATTGTACTTCTGAGAGTTTCATGACCTATTTTAAGTCACTTCTTCAGAGTAAATAAATAACCCATATAAAAATAACACAAGTTTAAGTAGTCAGAAGAAAAAAAAGTGTTTTTAGTACAGTCAAAATCGTAATTGATCTGAAAAAGTTAATGTCATGTTATTTTAATTAAAGTGATTCAGTAGGACAATATCACCGTATTAATTTGTGCCTAAGAAGGTGGGTATGAAAGATGTATACGTTTTTAATATAAAGTAGAAGGATTAACATTGAGTGTACATGTGTGTATACTTTAGGGGAAATATGTAGGGTCTGTTGTTGTTTATATTTATATTATGTATTACTCTTCTCCGTATTGAAACTAATCGTCTATTAAAATCAAAGAAATGTTTAGATTAATTACACGGCTAAGTAATAAAAGAATTTTGAAGAGCTCAGAGAAAATCTGACTGTAAATTCACATTCCAATACATTATTGATAGGGATTATCATTTTAAGCATTGAAGTCACATTGGTCTATTTAAACTACATCTCCTTTTTTTTCATTATTCTTTGTGCTAAACATCTTTTATAGTATTCTTACTTCGATTTGAGGTATAATTTTATTTGTTTCATTCTGTATAATCTCTTCATTACATACGTTGTTATAGAATTTGTTTCCAGAATACATTAGGTTGTCGTTCAAATTAATGAAACCAGTTGTAGATCAATAAACTCATTCAAGGATTTACAGCCCAAATATCTACATGAAAAAACAAGTTAATATCCAAAAGTGCATGGTTTTAACTACTAACATAATGTTCTATTATGGTAGCATAGGATGCTAGGTATTTGCATTGAGTTTAAAAAGTTACTGGTTCACATCAATGGGAGTTTAAAGAAATGATACATTCAGTTGTGACTTACATTTATGAATGACTGATGTACGATTTAATTTTATAATCTGTATGTTGTACTTTCCCCCTAAACAGTCAAAATTAACCGATATGATGTTGTTCTCTACAAATGACATATTATTTGTTCATATTTTGATGAAAGAACAAAGATCTCATTATTTTCCTTTCCAGTAGATAACTATTTTCTAGAAAGAAAGATGCATTTGGACAATTGTAATTGACATCTGAATGAAGTTGAACTTTTGTTCTAGATTATACCGTTTTTTTTCAAATTATTTTAGTTGTTTGTAGTTCAAAGTATAATTTAAACAATAACATTTTTTACTGGAACTACGTTGAAGATTCAGTCAATCAGTCACAACGTAGAACTTCGTACGTACGTACATCAGTTGGAATTGTCATACCACATTAGCACAGAGATGCAGTTGTCGATTCAAATCCCATAGTGGTAGAAGTAGTAAGAGTATAAGCATTAATGTGAAAGATTAGGATTTGAAGATGCTATTGAGGGAGTATAATACAGTGAAATAAATTTGGAAAGCGGGAAAAGATAGAGACATAAAGAATTCAGAAGATTAGAATTTGGGAGAACGTTGAATATTAGTAACATTTTATTGACCATGACTTAATATGTAATCAAAAGTTATTTCTAAGTTTACTTCACATAGAAACATATCAACACTGAATATCATTTATTAATAACTCATCTTACACATACATACATACACACAATTTATGCAGTCTCCTTTAATTCACATCGCTGAACTTTTCACTTGATTCTCATTCAACTGACTCAGATTATCCTGTTGTACAAAAATTCGACATCCAAATATTATTGGATTAAAATGTAGTAGAGATTTTGATATGATTGTTAAAAACACTATATATTTCTTTCATGATTTTGATTTTGATTATTTCCCTGAAGAAGTCCAGACAAGTTAGCTGGACGAAACGTTGGAATTATTTTTATATTTCAATCGCTGAGACTATTTCAAATATAATAATTTTTTCACATATAATGAATTCTCTATACTCGGCGCCCAATTATTGTCAAACTACTCGTTCTAACCTTGACGAATATTTGTATAAATTATTTCTAAGTTACTTTGAACTATTCTCTACTGATAAATATTTATGTTCAGAAAGAGGTTTTGTGGAGATTTTAGTAATTTTATAGTTGAAATCATGAGCCAATTGAAGATAGAGCACTATGGAAAAGCTGGAAGCACTACATGGCCGTTTTCCATGGTGGTCTAGCTTCAATTGATTCATGATTTCAACCATAAAATTACTAAAATCTCCACAAAACACCTTCTTATAATAATCATATACTCACTAGTGACTGGCCTCACGAGATATTCTCTGGAGTTCTTGTGAGAAGCAGTGACCAATGGAGTACAACCAGGTCTGTTATGAGATATCAACTCACTGAACATAATGGCGGACAGTTGCTCAATTTCATGGATTGGTTGAAGTTGGACATTAACACCACTGGATACCATCCGGCTCAGTGATGTAGAGGTTAAAAGCTAACTCGCGAGATTGATACTGGGTTCGAATCTCCCGAAGCGAGATCGTGGATGCATTCCGCTGAGGAGTCTCACAATTGGATGAAACGGCCATCCAGTACTTCCAGGTTTTCCATGGTGGTCTAAATAAATCAAACCTACCAACCTTGTTATTGGTTTCCTAAAATAAATCTATTTGTTTATTTATTGCAACTGGTATTGCTTATTTAATGTAATATACATAGTCATACACATAGAAGTTAATTATATAAAACAATTCTGTTTTGTTTTTGATTAGTTGGTAGAAAACCTTAGTAATTATGAAAATAATTAATTAATCTGAATTATGTTTTTGTTTCTCTTCCATCTATCACTCCGTATATCTATATTCCCAGAGGAATTATTCAACTTCTTTATACAAAGTACATAGTAGTAGACTGAGAATATTCTTTTTTCTTTTGCTCATTTAAATGTTTACTTTGTTCCATGTAGTTTATAGAGTATTTGTATACCTCCTGAAGATAATTTAGGATTACTTTTTTATGGAAACGCTACGTTACCATGGTTATATACTTTTTGTTAATTAAGGAGACATAATAATTTAAAGAATTAAACGAAGCTACTGTAGTGTAAATCAATTCGTAGTATGAATTATTGTTTATTTTTCCTGATTAGCGTTTTTTTAACGAGTTAGTTTCGACGGGATGGGTTGCTAACCTCATGCTCAACCCTCCCTCTTTATCTGGGCTTGGGACCGGTAGTAGGCCCCGGAGGGGCTATAGACGGAGTCGGGTTGCATTCAGTGTAATGTTTTTAACTGATCGAATACTATTGATCAGATTGCGATATGGCCTATAGTTAATTTGATTCAATATCACATGGATTACATTTTAATGCTAGGTGGTTGGTGGCAATTAATATATATATATATATATATATATATATATATATATATATATATATATGATCAGGTTTTCAGCTACAACTTCTTATCTATCTGACTTATATATCATTTCCTTTCTTATTGAGATCTTACCTTCGTGATTTCGTATCCTTATGCACATCAATAAATTTTGCACGGTGAATCTTTATATTTTAACTTCTTTGATAGTTGACACTTAAATATTTTATTTCCTCAAGTTTGATTTGAATACTATATTGTTTTTTTCATATGATCACAAGATCCGTTGTTTTTTCTGAAGTCTAGTTGAGCTGACAAAATTATCTAACACATCATTAACACATGTTATGTCCTAGAAACATTCAAAGCTCACTGGTACTGGTTGGTGAAATGAAGTAAATTATATAGACGCATATGATTTCTGGATATTAACTAATATATATTGGAATTTTGTAAAACATGCGATAAAATTTGAATCGCCTTACACTTTCAGTGAAGTGAACCACAAATTTAGACGAAATATAATTAGTTCGAAGGCTTTAAACAATGTAAATTCATTTAGTACTGTTTTGTTTGAATCTTCTTATTCATGTTTAGGACTGCAATTGATCATATGTGCATACTGTGCATATTGCCTCGATATAGGCTTAATTCACAAGTATTACAAGCAAAGATGGATAGTCGCTGGCAGTGGAATCCAGTTTGACGCGTAATTCATCCTGTCTTGGACTCGTACGCTGGATGTACCTCCATCTTAGAGTTGATGTTCACTCTGGGATTCGAACCCAGTACCTTTCGCTTCAAACGCCATCGCGTTATCCATTTTTGCTTATAATGCTTTAAAGAATGTGTTTGTTTGAAGTGGATATTTCAGTATAGTAGTTAATTTCATGAAAATTATTAGCAATAATAGTTACTCACTATCTTACTATCTTACTACGCATATTGATTTCAACAATTGATGGTCGGTTAATAATTAAGACTAAAAAAAAAGAGCTCATCTATTTTGTAGAAATAATTAATTTATGCATAAATTATTTATTACCTACTTGATCCTCATTGAAAACAAAATTTCAGTGAAACTTTATGCTGATTACCTTAAAATAAAAAAAACTTTTTTTAAAACTATTTTACTTAAATTATGCACCTCATGTTTATGTTTTGTTTGTGTTTCTTCTCTTTTCTTTTTTATTATCAGTACACATAGACGGATTTTGTTATGAAATTCATGTTTAGTTTTTGGCAGATATTTTAAATTTAGTTGAAGTGATTTTGGGGAAATTACTCTAATTTTAAGGTTGTATTTACTAAAAACTGATCACTGTTAAGGTGTTTTTACGAATTATTAAACACTTAAAACATTTTTCCTCTTGGTATGGGATACGGCAGCAGTCTGTATTTACTGCCTCATCAGTGATTGAATTCACAGCCTTCAGCTATTGGTAGCGAATACTTCATAGATTTCTAGCTATCAGCTGTGATTATTGGAGTTTATGTATATATATAATTCGTATCATTTCTCAATTTCTTATAATAGATGGAGCCGTTGAGTGATGTTTCAGTACTGAACCCAATGGAAGCTGCAACTAAATCAAATTTTATCGTAAGCAAATCACAAAAACCAAAAGAAACTGTACAATCTTATACATTTTGTACAAATATGGCATATTGTGATTCCATAACAAATTCACAGATATCCAATATATCTACATTAATTACCGATAATTCATTACAACAATTTACAACGTTAGATACAGTTTTACAACCAGTTGATGCAAATGAAAGTTTTCTTAAACATGTTTACTGTACATCAGATACATTTATGCCACAATCATCATCTACGACGAATACATGTATTATTGTTGATCAAGATAATTTAAAATTTGGCTCAAAACTTGTTTATTTTTGTCCAAATACATATCCAGAAAACAGTTAACTGAATTTCATTTTGAACACCTTATACATACATATTAACATTATCAATGAGATGTCACATTCCATAATTATGCCTAAAATAATGTAATGTACACTTATGTTTAAATAGAGTATACAAACAAGCTAAATTCATTAAATGAGTTGTATATTTTAATGAGAGTAATGTACAGTAAAATACATTCTATGTATTAATCTGTATTTATTATTGAGTTCTTATTTCCAAATACTTATTTTTACATTCACTTAGTATTGTTTGTTTGAATCCTCTCATTGATGTTTAGGATCGCAAATCGTCAGTCACTTATTGGCATATGTGCATACTGTGGATATTGACTCCATATAGCCTTAATTCACAAGCATATCAAGCAAAGATGGATACTGCCTGGCAGTGGAAACCAATTTGACGCGCGTTTCGTCCTATTTAGGACTCGTCAGCTTGTACCTGTATGTCAGAGGGAAGATCCAAACAAACAATACTAAGTGAATTCAAACTTCACCCCATTGCACAAGTAAGTGGCTATCAGGAATCAGTAGCTGAGTAGATAACGCGGTGACGTTTGAAGCGGAAGGTACTGGATTCAAATCTCAGAGTGAACATCAACTCTGAGATGCCAGGTATATGCAGCTGATAAGTCCCAAATAGGACGAAACACGCGTCAAACTGGTTTCCACTGCTAGCCACTATCCATCTTTGCCTACTTATTTTTACATTTTACTTTAAATTTAATTTTAATTAGAGCGGAAACCAATTTTGTTTTAAACGATTCAATTAAATGATCATTTTAACTAGACCGAAATTTATTCGGACGAAAAAATAATAAAAAAATAGAAAACGATGTTCCATCTAATTGATGGTATTACACACAAAGTAAACGGAAAATGCAATTTTGATTTATGACAAGTTTAACATTGGATTGTTTAAATCGTACTCAATTTAAACTAGAATTAATTTGTCCTTTCAGTTCATCTGAAAAGTGTGTTTATTAGCGAGAGAATGTTTGTTGTTTTCTTCAGGAAACAGGTAATTAATTAGAAGCAACAGTTTGTATGCACTCAAATATTTAGTTGAATTTCCTTCTGTTAAAACATTCGAAGTTTCCTTATCTACACGAATGAGAGACTAATTTGCCTTAAACAAGATTGCCTACACGAGATTTCCTCAATCTCAGTGTTCATTCTATAGAACTTTAACACAACTCAGATCAAGAACACGGGATTAGTCTGACTAGAATATAAATATATTTCCGCACCAAAATCCGACAAAATCAATACTAATAATACGAATAGGAGAATATGTAACTCATCGAATGCCTGTCAGACTATCTACAAGTCTGACTAAGCAAATAACTAATCAATTTTCATCCGTGGTCACACATCAGTTTGCCGGCTTGCTAGTCAACATGCTTACGTCTCTACATTCTAATCACATAGTTTCTAAATCACATAGTGTTACATATCAGTTTGAAACAAGTACATATGAGTCAAATTCACTGGGATGTTGTCTTATTATTCCATATAAAATCCATATAAGCATTGATGTCAACCACTTTGAATGTCATGGTTGTATCCGTTAATTATGGAACATATTGTATAATAAAATGAAAACTTAAGCTTGACTAAAATGTCCATGAATTTCTACAAGATTTTGATATATATTGATCATTTAAACTTTTGCTTCGGTTATATTTGTTGAATTTGAATAAAAGCAGAACAAATACTGATGCAGAATAATATGTATTCATTATATTCCGTTGTTTCTCATCAACATTAGCAGACAAAAAATGCAGTGTTTCTTCGGTTTGCCAAAGCAATAGCATAAAAAACTCAAACCTGATTTATGTATCTTGAAAGAGGCAGTTATAAACTTACCATTACCTTGGTGAATTATCTTTGTCAGTATCATCATTTTATTGGTGTTTATATTGTCATGCGGTCTTCCATTAATTAATTATTATTTTATGTATACTATCCCTTCACTCATACGTTTTCATTCACTTAATTCTCCTGACTAAACTTTTCAAATCCTGTTCAATTATTACGTAACCCATCTTATCAATTTTTCATCCCAATAATCTTATGTAAACCCTTCATTACCTCCAAATTATCTGTCTTATATATCATCGGACTTCATATTAAATCTTACCTCAATGTTAATTTTCAATATATATACGGTTGCAAGCAATTGATGAGATACCGCGGAATATAATGAATTCATATTATTCTGGATCAGTGTTTGTTTTGGCTGTATTCAAATTCATTAAGGAAAACAACTGCATGATACTTGTTGAAAGCAGGATCGGAAAGTCTCCTCCAAGTGTGCTTATAAATGGTTGAATCAAATCAATATTAGTGCGATCTTTTGGTATTACCAGAGTATCAACTACTATTGTGATCATTCAAACCTTAGCGTTACAGTGACCGCTGTGATGTTTCAATGGCGACGTAATTAACACCTATTCTTGTTGGTTATTGTGCTGTAAATAATATATGAAAAGTGTTTACCACTTACTTGTCTTTACATGATAAGCAAACATTATTATCACCTCTCAAATCGCTAGCAGATATTAATGTTGAAGTGTCATTGTGTATAAATCGTTCAGTCCATGAAGCTGTGTTAGATTCGCCGTTATGTATGAAGTATCTTCCTTTGGTCTGTATTTATATCTCAACGAATTATGCTGATCAGAGAATTTATAACTTACATTTACTTGAGAACACTTTTTTCTATTAGAATTGAGCTGGTGAACGCAATCCATTACCGTAGCATAAACACTGTGACTTGAAGATAAGTACGTAAACCTACCTTTAACAGTTTACATTACTTAATATTTCTACCTTTATTGTCCAAGTTAGTGAACTTAACCAGAATGTTAGATAGATTGATAAGATTGTAAATAGCTTCTACGAATAAATTATGACTAATCTATTAACGATAAAATAGATTTAAGAAAAATGTAAAAGGACAATGACAAGTTGTTGACTTTCAAAGGTATTCTGTGTTTGTGTTATGCTATAGACATTTATGAGAAATTTATTTGGTTGTATGAGATGACATCCAACTACAGACAAACACTAGTTCAAAATATATGAAATAATCTGGGGGAAATGATGAATCGACAACTATTCTCCTTTTATAATCAGAAAGGGGTTTTGTGGATATTATAATAATTTAGTAGTTTATAGCGGTAAATAAATTTCCAAAATCAATAACTCTGTAAGTCTTCAAACAGTTCAACCAAGTATGCTTCGTTAGCTTCCTGAAGAGCAGACGCGGCTGAGCTTACGAATCCGAAGTTCAGTACTCTTTGGGTAACGACGAATTTCCTGGAGGGCAACGGTCCCTGGTCTGTACCTTTTTGCGTTCTTCACGCCCTTGAAAGACGGCGCGCTTTTGCGCTCAGCCTTCGTGGTTAGCTGCTTTCGAGGCACCTTACCCCCGGTTGACTTGCGAGCAGTCTGCATATTCCTTGTCATTCCAAAACACTGAGAGACGATGATATATGAAGTTCGAAAAAGGAAAAGACTCATAGTTTACGAGCTGGTGTATCAGATCACGTCGAGCTCACTAAAGAAATCAGAAATGAAGAGCTTCGAAGATATATCAATATATTGAGAAATGACTGATCTAAACTTGCTAGTGGTCATAGGAGAAGTTGAGCATGGGATTCTCACTCGGGATCTGGTTCAGATGTGTGACCGAGAGCCTTCAGTTGGATGAGTTCGTTAAAACTAATGGGGTAAGCATCAAATGTTGAAGACTTACATAACTACTGATTTTGGGTATTTATTTACCACTACAAGTTGAATTGATGAGTCAATTAAGCTAGACCACCATAGAAAACTTGAAAGTACTGAGCGGCCGCTTCGTCCTAGAATAAGACTCCTCAGCAGTGCGTATCCACGATCATGCTTGCGGTCTCATGTGCGAACGCTTAACCTCTAAGCCACTGAGTGGGCATCCAACGGTGCTAATGTCTAACTTTAACCATTCCACGAAATCCCGCCACCGTTCATGTGTATTTATTATTCGGTATACCAAGAAAACCAATTTTCAGAACATAAATCTGGAAACAGCAAGTGTTTGCCCACTGGTGGCTTATCTCGTTACAAAATTATCTAATTTCTAGTCTGGGATTATGAGCAGTGAAGTTTAATCATATCAAGTGTAAGATTAAGTTACCCATTTCCGACATCGAATGATTAGAAAACTATATCGCACCATTTATAAATCCATGGATTTAAGATCAGCGGCTTAAAAAATTTAGGTTCAACATGTCAACTAAATGTTCAATATTCAGCTTTTGATAAATTCACAGGTTCTTAAAGACGAAGAGTTTTAAACTGGACCACAACATTTGATCTCTGGCTTTTGCTAATATTACATGGATTTATGATGGTAAGGCTATTTTAATGTGAGAAAAATCTCAAACATACGGTTCATTGATGTTTTTCATGTTTTAAACTTTCAGTTTTATTAACATATCTGCATGATTTTCAAACCAGGGGTTTCGTTAATATGACATTGGTGTGATGAATAATTAATGGAATGTCTGAAAAAGCCAGTATAATCGTTTTCATTTCAGCCCAACAATTAGCCACTAACTTTTAAATAATTTCATCACTGAGTGTTTATTTCGATAATGTAATTAAAGCCGGTTAATGAAATATTCAGTTGTTTAACAATTAAGAAACCACCATAGAATATTCAAAAAAGAAAAGAAATGAATATTTAAGTGAACAACTGCTTGCAATAACGTCATCATGAAACTCTCTACCGTTATAAGTTCATAATAATTGTGATATTTTACAAAGGTCAAAATAAGGTATTCATTAATGAATTTGAATATAGTCTTGGATGGATATGGTTTAGATTTGATAATAGGAGTCTCCAATGAGTTTATTATGCAAACTTTTCTATCTGTCTATAGACATATATTTATCATACAACTATAAATACGACTGTACAGCTTAAGTAAAGAACTTGACTATATAAAGATGGATAGTGGAATCCAGGATGTGCGTTTCGTCCTATCTGGGACTCGTCAGCTGGATGTACCTGCATCTCAGAGTTGATGTTCACTCTCGGACTCGAATCCATTACCTTTCGCTTCAAACGCCATTGCATTATCCACTCGGCCACTGAGTCCTGATATAAATTTGCTTGTGCAATGGGGTGAAGTTTGAATTCACCTAGTAT